TGAGCTATTTCTAGAGTCTGTCTACATGGTTGCTCTTATGATATACTGGTAGCAGTTAGTTCCTTCCCTTCAAAAGCAGCACACTTGTAGCTTATGCCAGCTCCCATGGTATAAATGCTATGATTTGACCAATTTTAAGCCGACAGTTTCAGGTTACTGAGTACAGACTTAGGAGGAGGTGCACTGGTTTGTCCAGCAGCTCATGACTTTATAAAGCTGTTTATAGGAAATAGAGCTGTAAATAATTTCAAAAGCACATGTATTGGTCAGATAATTCTGAAGTGGCAAATTTGGAGTGTTTATTACTTTTTAAATTTAGCTGTAAGTTGTGTATTTTCATTTTTAGTAATGACTGTATTTAACATCTGACTTTCAAAAATGCTTGAAAATGTAATAATAAGTTCCCAAATCTAGCTGGTTCCAATGTGGTGTAATACTGGGTGCAGTATATCATGTGTTGTAGGTTATGCAGCCAATGTGCCCTCACAGTATTTTATATACTATGTTTCCTGTGCTTTTGTGTACTCAGCTTCACTCTCCCGAGCACTGAGTGTCTGTAATATATTCGCTTAGAAAGTTTATCTGTACTGGTGTGTGAAAGCCCTCTGTTTTGAGCATTATTTAAGCCCAAGATTGAAATTTTGTTTTTGTACAGGCTAGAAAACAGATGAACACATACATTATCAGATTGTCTCTTTGTGAGGCCTTTCTACAAATAATGCACACTGCAGATGCTATTGGTCTTGAACCGTTATCATAACATATGTTCCTGCTCAAAAGTAGCAAATGTGCCTCTTTTCTGAAATAGATGGTGTATGAGCCCTCATACACATATCTTATGATCAGGGTCAGCTGTAGAGGAGCCAAAGCACTTCCACGCCAAAGGAAGTGTTTCTATGCCAGTAGCTTTAGCCTGATTCAGATAGGTCTGTTTAGAGTGGGTGTATTATTTCTGTCACTGTTATGGTCATCATTGCCCTGTCCTCATCATCATTATCAATATAAGCACTGTTTATCAAGAGCCATCATGTGCATCTCACTGTGACAGGCACCATGCAAATCAAGTGGCATCAATGATCCCATGAAGGTCAAGCCCAGACACAAGCAACAGCATTAGGTACCGCATCCCTGCCATTTCAGTGTAGGAGACAGGATGTGTGTTGGGATGGAATTTGAGGATGGTTAGGCTGCAACTTTCCCAGCATTCCCTGCAGGGCATGGAAAGGAAATGATGCCACACTAGGTGATGAGAGGAGGTGAAGCTAAGCAGTTTTTGTGAGCCTCAGAATTCATTGGTTGAGGAGTGTGTGTGGAGCAGTAATGAGATTGGGGAGGAGGGAGGAAAGTGAGGGAGAAAAGGATGGACAGCAAGAAAATGAGAGAGGCAGAAAATATTGAGACAAAGGGAGAGAGACAGACAAGTACAGAGAGACATGGAGAGTGACAGACAGAGAAATAGAAGGAAGAAGAAACAGAGAGAGAGGGCTAGACAGAGAGATAGAGAGACAGACAAGGGACAGAGACAACAAGAAAGACAGAGGAAGAGGAGAGAAGAGACTGGAAGAACAAGAGAAAGAAAGGGAGGCAGAAGAGGAAGTGAAGCTCAGAAGAAGGAAACTGGGGAAGTGGCCTCAAGGGGACACAAAAGGGGTGTGAGGACACCTCTAAGCCCTGGCCTCCGTCAAGCCCCTCTGGTCTGTCCTGTCTCCTCCTACCATCACTATGTCTAGCAAGGAGGAGCTAAGTGGGTGGATGGTGTGAACTGGTGATGTGAACCCCCCTGGTGCCAGGGGATTGATTCTTGGTCTCTGTGTAGCTAGCTGGAGCAGAGACATTACTGTTTCCTACAGCATTTCCTCTGAGAAAAAGCTGAGTTGGCACACACTTTCAATCCTAGCACCCAGGAAACCAAGGCAGGTGAGTATCTGAATTCAAGACTAGCTTGGTGTCTACACAACCAGGATTTCAGAGACAGCAGGGTTGTACAGAAACACTCGGTTTTAAAAAAAATCTAAAATCCAGATCAAACTAAATAAACAAACAAAACTCCTAAATTGCTACCACCATCACCACAATAGCATCACCACCACTACCACCACAACAACAGCTACAACAAAAATATCAAGAGAAACAGTCTAGAATGTTTTTCCATCCAGGATATCATTTGATTATCCTTGGAGATGATGTAACACAGACTTCTGCTGTTTTTTTTTAAAGGGGATTTTATTAAAAAGATAAAGCCTTGTCTTATGAGCATTACCATCAATAGACTTGCCAGCAACCAATATAAGGTGGGTTTTGTAGCCCCTGTTTAATTTACTGTCTATTGATGTTAAGATCCCAGAGACAAGATTTCATTTCTGTAGCATTAATTTACTTCATTTTTCTGGAGAGCCATAGAATTAACTTAGAAAACTAGCATTATTTGAGGGTATCAAGAGGATTTTTGTTAAAGTGAAAATTGCTGCTTTTTTTCCCTTTCACTCCAAGAGCAGATGAAAATATTGTAGAGAGGAATACATTTTCTCTTCAAAGATGAGCTGCTTGAAGACTATAGGTTGTTCCCGGCAATGCAGAAATCAGTGCTTTGATTTATGGTCATTTAGCCCTCTCCTTGTTCTGCCAAGCCAGGGGCAATCAAAGCCAGGGCCTAAATGGGTCTCTTTTTCTATAGCTACTTGGTAATTTCCCATGAGAATTTGGAATAACTGTCGATAGAGGCTCACGTTTTCCAAGCCCTGTAGCCTCAGAATCCTCAGAGTAGGGTAGAGAAGGAGACCTGGGGTGCTGGCTTCTGGACTTTGGGGTGGCACTTTGAACTGTTTGGTGTCTGATGTTCCCACCTTGAAATGTGAGAAGAACTTAAGCCTCATTGCCCCCTGGCTTTGTGTTCTCTTTAGTAGAGTAAAAGACACCTAGTAGAGCAGTCCTTCAGGGTGCAGAAGTTAGCATAGCTCAGTTGGTTCATGTACCTTTGTTGAGCACATAAGACACCCCAAGTCTTATATAGGTACTAGGCACACAGCCCAGTGCCTCCTGGGGTTTTAACTTACTGGAGGATCTCTTAGGGTTGTAGGGGACAGCTTGTCTTAGACTCTAGATCCTGTATTAGTGGGAGGAAGCTGAGGACTTTGTGTGTAAGATGCTTCCTGTTTTCCTTGGGTCCTTGGCCTTGATTTTCTCTTTAGCCTCTCCAGCTCTTCTCCATTCCATTCAAGACTGGAATTCTCATTTCTGAACTAGCTGCGGCTGCAGACACACCCACATAGGAAAATTTGGGGGCAGCAAAACTGTTGGGATATTTGGGTATGTGCTTGCTTAGAGACTACATTAGCTTAAAATGGCCAGTTCCTCTGTCCACTTAGTTTATAAACTACAGATCAGTGCACTTATCATGGATTCCAAATGAGCTTCTGATTCACTCAGTTTTAAAGATTTTTTATTTATTATTTACTTATGTGTGTGCATGCTTGAGTTTATGTTAGTGTGTGTGTGTGTGTGTGTGTGTGTGTGTGTGTTTATATATGTATATGCATGGCTGCATGTGTCTGTGCTTCCAGAGAGGCCAGAAGAAGATATAAGATCTCTTGGAGCTGTAATTACAGGCCTTTGCAATACTCCCAGCATTTTACATATTAATTTATTTATTATGTATACATTGTTCTGCCTGCATATATTCCTGCATGCCAGAACAGGGCACCAGATCTCATTACAGATAGTTGTGAGCCACCATGTTGTTGCTAGGAATTGAACTCAGGACCTTTGGAAGAGCAGCCAGTGCTCTTAACCTCTGAGCCATCTCTCCTACTCCCAGCATTTTTTTGTGGGCACTGGAATAAGAACTCCAGTTCTCATAATTTTGCAGCAAGAGTGCTTAACCACCAAGCTGTCTCCAGTGCACTCTTATTCTCTCTTCTAATCATCTTATGTTATGGTTGGGGTACCTTGGAACTTTATGACTCTTTCAGCCAAATTCAGGCTGCTACGACCCTTCACCTCAATGCACATATTGAAAGTATTTTCCAGACGTGGTTTATGGAACTGTTCCTGCAGTGTGTGGCATCTTTGAGGATCAGAACTGAGGTGGGCAAGGGGCAGGGAGTGGATTTTGGGCATGATGATGAAGCTAAGGGGAGTGGGGTGACTCACACCCAGCTTAGGCCTTTCTCAACCATCAGGAGTTGTGTAGGATGCTGAGATGCCCTTCCTGGAAAATTCTGTCTCCTGTTTACCTAGATGAGAACAGCTTATGGAGGTGTTTGAAAAACCTTTGGTGCAAAGTAAGAGATGTGGCAGAGAAAAACATTCTTTGCTTCACACTCAGTCCCTGGCAGTGATCACAGCATCCAGAGATGTCAAATCTAAGCTTATTTTTCCCCTTATAAAAATAATTATTACAATTTACATTGTAACAGAAGAAAAATCAATCATTGGGTCAGAGATTTTGAATGTTTGCTGTGTCAACTTGAAATTGCTAGGTATGTTCATTCAAAAGGTGCTTTTTCCTCAAGCATATGGAATGACAAATGGGTGGGGACCAGGACCATGGCTTCATTGGTAAAGTTCTTGCTGTTCAACCGTAAGGATCTGAATTTGACACCTCAAAACCCACATAAAGGCTCAGTGTGGTGGTGTGGGCTTGTAATCCCAGTGCTGGGGAGTCAAATACAGGCAAATTCCCCTGGGGCTCACTGGTCAGCCAGTCTAGCCAAATTGGTCCAGGTTCAAGGACAGACTCCATCTCAAAGGACAAAGTGGAGAATGACTGAAGAAGGCACTGAGCTTTGGCTTCTGGTCATCAAACACCCCCACATGTGTGCACTTACACAACATGCATCCACGTGGGAGACCAATGCCTCAGGCACCTGAGTCATTGATGACCAACACCATGTTTCTTTGAGTGGGTTCAATACGAAGATCTAGTTTGGACCTGCTGTTTTGTTGTCCTCATTGAGATCTATAGCTGATTTTTGAAACAGAACAACTAACTGGGCTCTTACCTGGCAATCTTGTCTGTGCAGGACATGGTGACTAGCTGCTCCCCCAGCAGGATGCCATCCCACGTCTGGACTGCACTGGGGCTCCGGACAGGGACTGTCCCTTCCCCAGACTCAATCTTGGTACGCAGGTGGCCTCGGAACTTCCTAACGATGTGTTTGGTGCTGTTCACTAGGAAAGAAGAATTGACCATGAAAGATGGCAGGGATAGTGGTCCAGAGACACAAGGGTTTGTTTGTGGAGGCAGAGAAAGACGTGTGACCGATTTAAGCAGCCCAGGCACAGGAGACAAGTCTTAGAAGTGAAGGCAGAGTGGAATTTACTCTTAACAGTGAAATGGTTAAGATCTGAGCTGCAGATTTAGCCTGGGATTGGCCAGATATCCTGTTAAGGGCAGAGGGCAAATGTCTCAGGGACTCTGGGGACCACACTGTCTCCATTTACCTTTTATTTTCAATGTACAAAGCCAAAAGAATCAATCTAACACTCAATTTTTTGGACATCAAAATTTAAATGTGTAATTTTTATAAGTTGTGAATCATAGTCAGATCATAGTATGTACAGGTTCTGAAGCTATGTATTCAACCAACCGAGGTTCAAAACATTTGATTTAAAAATTGCATCTGTCCTTGTTATTATTCCCTAAGCAATATAGTACAGCAGTTATTTTTAAAAAGCATATCTACATTGTGCTAGGTGTTATAAGTAACCTCGCAGCGATTTAGAGCTTATGGGAAGATGTGATGGGTTATGTGTAAACACCACAGCAATTTTATAAGGGATTGGAGATGCCTCTGTGGGGAGTCCTGAACAATCCCCAGGAATACCCAAGGATATTGTATTTTTCTTTTCAGTTTTTCTGATTTGTTTAAAATAATCTTTACCAAACATTTAAGGATATAATGGTACCAGTTTTACATAAACTTTTCTAGGATGAACGAAAAGGGGAAGAATAGTTCCCAGCTCAAGGTTTACATGGATGCAACCCAGAGGGGTAACTGTGAGAAAGAAAGGCATAGACCATAATGTTTCATATATGTAGATTCTAAAGAAAATTTTACAAATCATTTACAATCCTACAGGAGGGATAATTGCTCATGGTCTGGGAGGCTTAGCTCAGAAATGTCTTTTCACTTTTTTCCCAGCCACTAACAATTATAAAGCCACACCTAGCTTTCAGGTCATTAGAAACAGGTGTTGCCTGGGTTTTGCCTCTCAAGCTGGTCTAGATTTTAATCCTGGTGTCATTACTTACTAGCTGAGTAACTGTGGGATAGCTACTTAACGTCACTGTGACATGGGTACTTCCTCTTAAAATAGGGTCTTCAATGGTGTTTAGCCACTAGACTGTAAGAGTTGTGAAAGCCAGCAGGTCTGAAAAAGCTGGTGAAGTCTAGATACCCACAGGCAGAGGAATGAATAAAGAAAGTGTAGTATAGACATACAATGGAAGTTTATATAGCTATGAAGAAGAGCTAAATCTATACTTTTCAGGAAAGTAGATGGAACTGGAGGTCATCATTGATAATTAATATTGACTGACTCTGGTATCAATTAAAAGGCAAGCACACATCCATTCTTTATTTCTCTGTTCTGATTATGAATGTGACCAGCTCATTCAAGCTCCTCCCCCCAACTTTCTTGCAGTGAAGGATTGGAACCAGGAGTTGCTCCTCCCTTGAAGCTTTCCTCCCTTGAAGTTGCTTTTATTACCTCAGTAGGAAATAAAGCTGGAACAATCATGCTAAACAAAATAAGCCAAATTCCCAATAAACATTGTGTTTTCTTTTATATGCAGAATCCAGATCTAAAAAAAAAATATGTAGCTCATGGAAGTAGAAAGGGGTTATGTGGGGGAACAAGAGGTAGTGATGTGGGGAGAGAGCCAAATATTGAACGTTTCTCCCTTATGAGGAAATCCAGATTTTTATATATGGCAGAAAGAAGGGGAATTATTTGGAGGGAAGGAGACCAGTAGGATGGAAGAATGGAAGGGAGGATGAGAGTGGATATGAGCAAACTTCAATGATACAGATGTGGAAAACATCATTACAGAATTCACTATTTTGTGCAGCAATCACACACACACACACACACACACACACACACACACATACACAGGTTAGGGTTAGGATTAGGCTGTTGGGTCAGCTTATGGCCCATGGAAAGACAAACCAAGGTGATGAACTGAGCCTGGAAGCAATAAGCAAACGTGAATGCAAACTGGAAGATGCTGATGATGGCAGTGAAGATGGTAGTGACTGTGGAGGTATTAATGATAACAGTAGTGGTGGTATGGTAATCATGGTGGTGCTGCAACTGGTAGTGTGGATATGGTAATGGTGATGATAAAGGTGGCTGTGGTGATGATGACAGTGGAGATGATGATGAATATGACAATTATACTGATGATAAAACCAAACACAATGAAAATAGTTCATGTGACTAAAAACACTTGAGATAACTTGGGTTTAAGTTAACACAATTCAGATGGGGGGTCTTTTCCAATATTAGCTTTCTGTGGCCGGTAACATTGGGAATAGGGAAGTTAGCAATACTCACAGCTTCTATAGTGTTGTCCAAAGATAAGGAACTTTACTATCCCACCTGGGAGGTAGATTTTTCAGGGGATATAGTACTTTATGTCCATATAGCTCTATCAATTACATGGTCCTTATATTCTCCAAAGATACTATGTAACATTTTCCAGGCCTTGAAAGTTGTCCATTATAGTTTAAAAAGCTTTCTAAATTTTCACCATCTGTTAATGTCAAGCAATTAAAAAGCCTGGATTGAGTTACAATATTTTCTAGGAGTCAACTCAAAGTTTTAGGTTAGATTAATTTCTCCTCAAGAGCCAGGTGTGAGAGATGCACCTACGTGTGTTTTCTTTGCTGTTTCTAGTGTGTTCCCTGGTGAGTTTGCTTAGTTCCAGGGTGAACTGAAGAGCTGGTGAACTCCTGTAAACCATTTCCTTTGGCTCTGGATTTTTCTTGGCTAATTACAAGAGGCAGGAGGGAGTTGAAGATGCCACTTCAAGTATAATGAAATGCCAATCTAACCAGCAACTGCAGGGGATTGACTTTAAATAATCTGAAATGGAGTGAATGTGTGCTTGAAACAATGAAGATGTAGAACTTTAAAATCCTGCCTATTCTGTATGCATAGACAGTGCCAAGTTCATTAGAACTCTCTACTCTAATTCTTATACCCAGAGACCATCAGCTTCATTGTTAAGTTTATTAACTTTTTTGGATTGATAGTAAGGAAATTAGACTGGTAGTATGCTTTAGAAACTCTTCAGATGAATATTAATTTTTAGGAGGTCGGCTCAAAGGGTTGGTGAAACATAACTAATTAAATATTATGGTTGTTCCAATGGTATAACTGTGTGTGTGTGTGTGTTTGTGTGTATGTGTGTGTGTGTAGAGAGAGAGAGAGAGGAAGATATATATATATATATATATATATATATATATATATATATATATATATCAAAGTAAAAAATTAGCGACCCACAAATCCGGGCCCCTGCCAAAGAACGAGGTCTCAGCTGGAGAGCGCCAGTTTCCAGTGAGATCCCACTACCCTGCAAAACCTTCTCAAGTTCCAGCCCAGCCCTCGTCCTCTTCTGCCGGCTATTGGCCAGAGGTGAGTCTGGGCCCAATCGGGGCTGCCTGTCCCCTTCAACCTCTTTTCCCCCTCCCCCGCCTGAACTCCCTGGATTGGCCCCTGATCCTGCTGCTCCTGTCTCCCGGTCCCCTTTGAGAGCACCCTTGGAGCTCTGATACACCCCCACCCATCCCAACCTCCAGCCTACCCTCCCCTACCCTGTGCCCTACCCCACCTAAGGTCCTGCCGCTCTGGTTGAGCACTGGGACAGAGGGTGGAGCCAACAGTCCACCCTACTTCGGAGACCTCTCGGAGCAACTCCAAACAAAGGAGACCTGACTATCCACATGGGACCACCTGTAATTTCCACCAGCTTGGTCCCTGACCCCGCCTCCAGTCCTCTGCTGGAGTCCCAGGCCCCTCCCAGAGATCCCCCTATCTCTGCAGGTCCACTTGGAGTTCCTGCAGGCAAGATCCTTGACCCACAAATCCGGGCCCCTGCCAAAGAACGAGGTCTCATCTGTAGAGCGCCAGTTTCCAGTGAGATCCCACTACCCTGCAAAACCTTCTCAAGTTCCAGTCCAGCCCTCGTCCTCTTCTGCCGGCTATTGGCCAGAGAGAAGCCTCCTAGAGAGCTTGGACCACACAGAGATACAGACATTGAATCTTTGATCCACATAAGCCCATCTGGGAAGGACCATAGAGAGAGGGAAGAGACACCACCAACACCTACAGGAAGAAACTATGGGAAGAAGGCAATACAAGAGAACACCTAACAACAGAAAGACAAACATGACACCACCAGAATCTAGGGAATCTACACCAACTAGAATGGAACACAACAACAAAGCAGAGGAAGCAGAAGGGTACGACTTAAAAATCACCATCATAAAAATGATAGAGGCCCTCAAAGAAGATATGAGAAAATCCCTTAAAGAAATAGAGGAAAAAACAAACAAAAAAGTGGAAGAAATGAACAAATTCCTTAAGGAAAGTACAGAAAGCCAAGAAAAAACAATTAACCAGGTGAAGGAAACGGTTCAAAATTTGAAAACCGAAATTGAGAAAAAAAAAGCAACACAAATGGAAGGAAAACTGGAAAATAAAAAAGTTGGCAAAAAAATGGAAACCACGGCCCAAAAAAAAACAAAAAAAAAAAAAAAAAGAAAAAAAAGATAATCGCAGGAAAAAAAAAAAAAAAAAAAAAAATTTCACCCACCAAAAAAACCAAAAACCCAAAAAAACCTAAACACAAAAAAACCGAAATGTGGGAAAACGCTAAAAAAACAAAACACCAAAAAAAAAGAGAGAGAGGAGGAAGGGAAGGCGCCCAACCCAAGGGCTCAAAAAATATACACAAAAAAAATATAAAAAAATATTCAAAAATTCAAAAGCAGGACCTCGTCAAAAAACAAGAAGCAGCACAACCCAAATAAAATAGGCTGAACCAAAAAAAAGAACCCCTCGACATATAATAATCAAAACACCTAGCATACAGAATAAAGAAAGAATATTAAGAGCAGCGAAGGAAAAAGGACAGGTAACATATAAAGGCAGAC